TGAGATTTCCAGGGGCCATCTAGGAAGCCATCCTAGCACCTCTGGAGGTCCTTGAGGAGCGAAGTGCGTGAGGGCCTGTGTCGACTTGGTCCTCTCGGGGGAAGCCGAGAGCCTCGAGCGCGCGGGTCCATAGTACTCTTCCGTGTCCCAGGAGAGTGTGCGGGCGGAGCCCCCTGCGGACCCCCCCAATCGGCTGGCGGAGCCCGCAGAGGCCACCGCTCACCACCAGCGGTCGACGGAGAGAGCGAGGCACGAGTGATGCAGTCCTGCTGGGGCGCAGCCCCCTTCTGGGGGAGGGATCAGGGGGAGGGGCGAGGGGCGAAGAAGCGGGCGCAAAGACGGCCCAGGAGGTGCCCCAGACGACGTTAGACGGCCTGTGATACCCCGAAGATGGCCCGAGGGAGGTCCAAGGACGGCTCCGAGACGGCTCACAGAGAGCCCAAGACCGTCTCAGAGCGTTCGAAGACGGCTTACGATGGCCTCAGGGCGGCCCAGAGGGGCCCAAGATGGCCCGATAGTCCCTCCGGAGGTTCCCTGGGAGGGTTTCATGAGTCCGGAAACGTGGCTATCCCTCAGGCTTTTTGGAGGTTTTTGTGGTTCTCGAGTTTCTGGGGCCCAGAACGGCCCAAGACGGCCCGAGAGGCCCCAAATACCGTCCTAAGACGACCCAGCCGGCCCCCAATAGGTCCCCAAGAGGGCCCAAGAGGGGGTCCCAGAGGCTCCCAAGACAGCGCCCAGACGGCCATGGGAGGCCGCCACGAGGGCCCAAGAGGGCCGCGAGTGGGCTCGAAGGCGGCCCAAGCTCCAAAGAGCCCAGGAGGCTCCCGAGACGGCGCACGAGCCTGCCCAGAGGATTCCTCTCGCTTCGCGGGTGCACGTCCGGAGCACGTACAGTCACGTCGTCGCGGGGCCTCTTGGGAGCCTCCTGGGGGCATCCTGGAGGCCTCTTGGGAGCTTCTTTGGGCCTCTTGGGGACTTCTTTGGGGCCTCTCCCCCCCCTCCTTTTCATACTCCCTCCCCATCTTCCCTTCCAGCGCCGGCTGTAATCATGGGCGCCGCCGTGACCAATTTCACCTGGCTGGCGCTGCGCCGTAGTTCGCCCGGGGGGGGGGGAAATAACATTACACTCCAGTCGTTGTGTGGCCTTGTGGGGGCTTCTTTGAGGCCTCTTGGAGGCTTCTTGGTGATTTCTTGGAGGCCTCTTGGGTTTTTTTTGGAGCCCCTTGGGGGCCTCTTGGAGGCCCCGGGGCCTCTTGGGGGCGTCTTGGGCCGTCTTGGGGCGCTTTTGCGCCGTTCCACTCGTTCGGAGGCCGTCTTGGGGGCCTCTCGCGGCCGCCTTGGGGTTCTCTTGGGGTCCTCTTGGGCCGTCTCAGGGGCTTTTTGGACCGCCTTGGGGGCCTCTTTGGGCCGTCTGGGGGCCGTTTGGGGGCCCTCTTGGGGGCTTCTCGGGCCTTTTTGGGACAATTTTGGCGGCTGCCTGGGCGGCCATGGGCTTCTGAGAGTCGAGAAAGGCGAGAACGCTAAAATCATCAAACAACTATAGGAAAATCAATAATTTTGGCCTCTGGAGGCACTCTTGGGGGTCGTCTTGGGGCCCTCTTGGGACGTCTTCGGAGTTTCTTCGGCCCTTTTTGGGCCATCATGGACCGTCTTGGAGCCGTCTTGGCCCGTCTTGAAGCCATATGGAGCCGTCTTGAGGCCCTATTGGGCCTCCCAGAGGGCCCAAAATCCCGAATCATCGATTGTACATAGGTTTTGCCCCAAAAGGGGGTGGCCATCTTGGGTCGACGGATGTGGCGTAGCCCCTGGGGGGAGGGTTAGGGGGGGAGACATAATAATGTAACACAGTGCAATATGTTGCAATTATGCAATCTTTGGATACATTGGATACGTTGCATTAAGGCGTTCGCCGGAAAACGCTGTCGCTCAGCACGTCACCTCTGGATGTGGATCCTTCAGACGGCCTGAGGAGGCAAAATGCATGGTTTTCAGTAGTTTTTCGATTGTTTTTTTGGTTGTTCGCCGTTTCGGGCCCTGATCGGCCGAAGACGGCTGTGAGGGCCCCCGCGACTGCTGCAAGACGGCCGTGGAGGCTTCAAGAGGGCCCTAAGACGGCCCAAGATGCCCCCTGGACGGCCACAGAGAACCCCAGGAGGGTCCCAAGCCCCAAAAGGCTAAAAGAGGACCAAAGAGGACCCACGAGAGCCCCAAGCAGACTCAAGCCCTCCAAAAAAGCTCAAGAGGCTCCGACGATGGCCCACGAGCCTCCCAAGAGGACCCCCCAGGCAGCCTGAGGAGGCCAAACACACATATATATATTATATATATATATATATATATTATATATATATATATATAGGTTTTTGAGGTTCTCAGGATTCTCGTCTTTTGGAGCTTCCGACGGCCCAGGACGGCCCACCACCGTCCCAAAACGGAGTAAGTGGCTCCCAAGAGGGCCCCAAGACGCCCCAAGAGGCTTCAGGACAGGCCAGCAGAGGCTCCCAAGAGAGCCCCGAGCGAGCCTCATGAGGCTCCCAAGAGGGCACCAACAGGCCCCAAAGAAAGCCCCACGACGGCCAAAGCCTTCCAAGACGCCCCCAGACAGCCCAAATGGGCCCCAGGACGGCCCAAGGTGTCCCCAAGATGTTCCAGCAGGGCCCCAACATGACCCCCAAGAAGGCCCGGAGACGCCAAACAACATTGGCTCCCACGAGCTCACATTGACGTGACAAGCTCGTGACGCCAAGGCTCCCAAGGGCGAGCGGTGACGTAAACGACTCTGAACACCAAGGCTCCCAAGAGCAGGCGCTGACGTAACAAGCTCTGCACACCAAGGCTCCCAAGAGCCCATCGTGACGTGACAAGCTCGTGACGCCAAGGCTCCCAAAAGCGAGCGGTGACGTACAGAACTCTGAATACCAGGCTCCCAAGAGCGAGCGGTGATGCAACAAGCTCTGCACACCAAGGCTCCCAAGAGCCCAAAGTGACGCGACCAGCTCTTAGCAACAACGCAGCCAAGAGCAAATGGTGACGTAATCAGCTCTTGACGCCAAGGCTCCCAAGAGCGAGCGGTAACGTAAAATCGCTTAATACCAAGGCTACCAACAGCGAGCGGTGATGCAACAAACTCTGAACACCACGTCTCCCAAGAGCGAACGGTGCCATGCGCCATTTCGGGAAGTTTCTGAAGCGCTCTTTCCGTTCCCGTGCCGGCCCAGGTTCCAATCCGCAATCTGGCGGCTGTCTGACACGGCTGACTGTCCGCCTTGGGCCCGCCGCATCGAGACTGCAGACTAGGACGCAACTCCTGGGAGGGTAACTTCAGCATCGGCGCTGGTGTATCCGTGGTCCAAAAGCCGGTCAATTCCGGCATAAACCCGTGCAGTTCCGCAAGAACCCGCTAGATCTGGCCCAATCCGGCTTCATCCCGGCTAATCACCATGGGGAAATGGGCCCTGAGGCTTTTCGCCGTTTTCGGGCTCTCGGGGCCCTCCTCCACGGGCCCCAAGACTGTCAGAAAACAACTCAGGATGAGGATCTCGTCTTTGGGGAAGGCTCTAGGGTCCAGGACCCGTTTCCCTCAGGACCCGTTTCCCCATGCTAAGCTTAGGATGTAACCTTTGGGAGGCTAGATTCTGTTTCGGCGCTGGTATATTCGTGGTTGTTAACCAGCTTAATCTGCGCTAAATGTTTTCAATATGCGTAACCCTGCATAATTCCGCCAGATCCAGCTCAATCTGGCCTGATCCCAGTCTTAGTCGTTCCAGCGGAGACCTCCCAGAAGTTGCCTCCTGACTGAGCTAGTCCATCTCAGCGGCCCCTTGGAGCTGGGCTCCGCACTCTGGGTTTCTTAATAAGCGTGGGGGGGTACCCCCCCGACGGGGGTCAACCTTGCCTCGTCGTCGCGCCGCGACGGGGGTCGGAGCGCCTTCGGCGCGCGGTGGCTGCCCGCGACGGGGGTCGATGTGCGGCTGTCGGCGGGGGTGACGCCCTCCGACGCTTATTAAGAAACATCTTGAGGCATCTTGAGGCATCTTGGAGGCCATCTTGGAGTATCGGAGGCCCTCTTGGAGCCATCTTGAGGGAAAAAGGGCTCTCCAACCACCCGCGACCCCCCCCAAAAAGTACAGGGGAGGGGGTGGGCGGAGGGGTAAACCCCTCCCCGAAGGGGAAGAGGAGTTTTTGGAAGAGGAAAGAAATGATATCGTTAGACCACCCACGCCCGGAGGGCTGGTGGGATTAAGAAACTCGGAGTAGCCTTCAGATCGTCCTCGCGAAGACCTCCCAGGGGTGGGGGTCCTTTGTGGCGCAGAGCGGGAGCCACGGCGGCCCCCCCCCCCCCTGCGGGGGGGGAGGCCTCGATCCTCGCTCCCCGTTCCTTCTCCCTGCCCCTCGGGGGCGCCGAGGCCCCGACACCCGCGGCTCGTAAGAGGGGGCGAATCCGGACGAGGACAGATCCTCCTCCCCCTCCTCTTCCCCCCCTCCTCCTTTCGCATCCCCCTCCTCCTCCTCCTCCTCCTCCTCCTCCTCCTGCCCCTCGCATCCCCCTCCTCCTGCTCCTCCTCCTCCTTCTCTTGCTCCCTCCTCCTCCTCCTCCTCCTCCTCCTCCTCCTCCTCCTCCTCCTCTTGCTCCTCCTCCTCGTCCTACCCCTCCTCCTCTTTCTCCTGTGGAAGGCCTTTGGAAGGCCTTTGGCGTTGTGCCGTATATACTGTTCGGATAGACCTCGATGGTATGTTTCTTACTTAGCCCTGTTTTGGGCTGCGGGCTGGAGTTATAATTGCTTCACCCCCTGGATGTCTCCTCGCCGAGGAACTTTCGATGACTGCCTGACTTGACCTGACTTGCCCTGGCCTGACCTAACCTCCTCCTCCTCCTCTTCGTCCTCGTCCTCCTCCTCCTCCTCCTCCTCCTCCCCTTCCTCCACCTCTTCTCCCCAATCCTCCCCCTCCTTCCTCCTCCTCTTAGTCCTCTCCATGCTCCTCCCCTTGGGCACGGGCAGGCCGTGATTGCGGCGAAGGAGGCCCCGCTCCCGAAGGACGAGTACAGGGATGCGAACACCCTGCTCAAGAGGGAGAAGGACCCTTTCCAGGGGAGGGAGCCAACCTCCCTCGGACTGCCCAAACTTTGGTTTTCTTTGTTTTTGTGTTTTGTTTTGTGATGCTGTTTTGTTTTCAATTTGATAAGTTATTTTTTTCAATGTCCATGTTTCAATACTACTGCGGAGTATTTTTGGCACTTCTAGACGCTTCGCGAATCCCCACCAGCCCATCCAGCAGCGATGCCTAGTCGAATTGCCTTGATCAGGGAAGTGGGAGAGCATACATTCGACAAAGATCGAATAATGAGCTCTCTACTGCCTGCCAGGGTGGTGACCGAGCCCCAGTTCAAGGATCCCCCACCCCCTGGAAGGAATCGAACAAGAAAAGCAGACATACCATGTCCCCCCTGTCGGCGCCCCTTGGCGGCGCCTCCAGCGCCGCCCCCTGGGAGGGGGGTCCAGTGCCGATCCAAGAAATCCGCACGGACGTTAGAAAAAACGTTTTCCAATGAAGACGGGCATCGCCAGGCCATTCCCCATCCCTGGTGGACCAGCCTACCCCCCTCGAGGTGGGGACGAGAGCCGCGAGATCCAGGCGGAGGCGGCATCCGTCCCTAACCTACAGGGGGCCTGGTCGGGCAGCGGGACCAGGGCTTTCCCGCTGGGGATGGGGATGGGCCCGACGATGCCGAGAAGACGGGGCGCCGACGGATGTCGGCTCGGCGGGCGTGCCAAGGACGCCCTCGAGGGCGCGAGGCGGTTTGCGTTTCTCGCTTGGCAGTTCGGCTCCGACGCCCCCTCGTCCTTTTTTTGTTCTTCCTCCCCTGGGGGGGGGGCGGCGCGAGAGCGCGAAGTGGCTCGCGCTGCGCGCTTCGTGCAGCGCGAGGGCGCGAAGTCGGGCGCCCCGGCGTGCGTTGGCCGTCCTGGCCGTCCTGGCAGAGGGCCGGCCCGCGGCACCGACCCGGGGCGCCTGGCCGCCGACCCCCCTCGCGGGCCCCCCCGGTGGAGGATGCCCCGCAGCCCAGCTCGGTGGCGGCCCCGTCGGGGGGGTGGCGGCCAGGTCGGGGGCCCTCGCAGGGCGCGGGCTCCCCCACCGGGGGCCCCTCGCCGAGCCCTCGGCGGCGCGGCGCCGCTCCCCTGCCGGTGCCTCGCCCCCCCCCCCTCTGCCAGTCCCCCCCCTCCCACCGCTGCCCCTCAGGGGTGGGCATCACATGGCCGGGGCCACGAGGCCTCCCAGGGCTCCGTGGCCCCCGCGGATCTTGCCTCAGCGCCCCCCCCCCCCCCCCCGGGGCCGCACGCGTGCCTCTCGGGCCACGATTCTTGCGAGCTCCCCTCTTGGACGCCCCCCCTCGCGGACGCCCCCGGCCAGAGGGAGCGGGGGCGCCGACCGCACGGCCTGTCCCGTCCATGTAGGACTAAGTCGGGCGTGTCCCTCTACAGGAGGAATATTCAAACATAGCCAAAAATAGTATGGGGACGTTTTTTTTGGACTATTTTTGATTCTCTTTTTTTTTTTGGTGTGTGTGTGTGTGTGATTATTTCAATTTTTTCCTAGAAGATCCGTCTGTAGGAGGACATGCCCGACCTAAATGTAGGAGCGGGGCCCTGACAGCCGCCACCCCCCGGGGCTCCGCTCGCCGTCAGCGAACACCCGGATCTCGGAGTGGACCTCCCCCTCGCCGCTGACCTCCATCTCGTCCCAGAGGATCGGGGGTAGACACCACCCCCACTCTGACACGTCTATTGGTGAATTGTCCGTTTTCGGTTATCGAGAGGGCGCCTCGGCCGTCATTTTCCAGGCTTGCGCCCGCCGGGTTTGGGCCCGAGGTCGTTGTCACGTTGTCACCGAACAGCGTTTTACTGCGTCGGGTTCTGCCCATCCCCGAGAGGGCACCCCATTGGGTTCGAATCTGAGGATGGTATCGGGATGCCCGACACCCCAACGGTGTGTTTTTCACGGCGTCTGCCCCCCAAGGTCTGGACCCCTCCGCCGGGCCCAGTGGGGGTCCCCGGGGGCCGAAGATTGCCAGCGGCCATCCGTCGTTTGATTGGATGTCGTGCTTGTGCTCGTGCCTCCCCTGGCGCTCCCGCCGAAGGGGCTGGACTCTGGGCGACGATCCTCAGGCTCTGTGCTCTCGCAGGCTGGAGCGGACCTCGCGCTCTTTCCACCAGAGGCCCTCGGGACCTCCTCTTCCTCCTCCCTCCCTCCTCCTCTCTCCTCCCCGACGTTTATCGCCCCCCGTTAACGAACTCCCGAACCCTCGAGACTGGTTTCCTTCGTGTCAGCTGGCGCTGGACGGCTTCTGGCAAGGCTCCAGGCGCTTGAGACGCCCCTGGAGGGCAGCACACGTGTCCCCATGCCATCTTTTTTGGGGAATTCAGACGGCGTGGTGACCACACCGCATGGTGAGTTACTGGGGATTCGGGATAGGCTCCGGGGGGATTCGGGAAGGTTCCAGGTTCGAGACTTTCGGACATTTTCGTCGGTTCTCGCTTTTTTTTGTTTAGCCTCGGGATGTTTTCCTGCAGCTGCGCCTCGCCGAGAGCGTTCTGGGGGTGTCCGGATCGGCCCGAACAGCTGCTTGAGGCCCGAGCTATCAGCCGAAAGCCACCAGGCGTCGAGGGCCCTCACACGGTGTGGCGACCACACCGTGCGGTGAGTCGGTGGGGATTCGCGGTCATCGCACGGTTTCGGGATCCGGGTCAATCTCCACGGACGTTTTGGGCGACCGGGCCTCCGAGGTCCCAAGCCCGTGCGGTGACGGATCGCCCAGTGAGGTTTCTTGGGGTTCCGAGATCACCGCGCGGTTCGTTACCACACTGTTTTGGGGCCCCGAACATTTCCCCTCGCCGAAGCACTTCCGATCACCAGATGGTGGGGTGACACGGCCCTTTCGGGAACTTCCGAGATGAAGGAGAAGGGGCATGTAGCACCCCGCAATTGCGGATAACCATGGGGGGGCGGCGGGGTCGTCGGCAGTTTGTGAGGCTCTGAAGAAGCTCGCCGCAGGCTCTGATTTGCCTGAACACATTACACAACGAGCCCGCCGCAGGTAATCTGTATTTTTCGGCATTGTATTATGAGAGGGTCCCGGGTGGGTCGCGGCCGTGTCGCGGGGTGGGTCGCGGGTGGGTTACGAGGGCGTCAAGGGCGAGGACGACGACAACACACCACAACTACATTAATATCAGCAAACACAGCAACGCCAACAACAACATCAACACCACCAACACCAATAACAACAGCAACAACAGCATCAACAGCAACAATCACACCACCAGCCTCACCACCACCAGCAACAATCAACAGCAGAAACACCAACAACAGCAACACCACCACCACCAACAGCAGCAGCAACAACACCAGCACCACTAACACCAGCACCAACAGCACCACCAACAGCAGCACTAACAACGCCAGCACTAACAACAAAACCAGCACCACCACCAACAACAACATTAACAACAACAGCACCAACAGCAGCAGCAACATCAGCAATCACAAAACCACCAACAACAACGGCGACAGCATTGACAACACCAACACCAACAACACCAACACTACCAACACTACCGACAACAACAAGCACTTTAAGACTGTTCACTCTTATCTACTCGAGTGCCAGTCAACACGCATATCCCAACCTCTCGATACCCGCCCTCTTCGTATTCGATCGTACCCTTTATGGGGTATAGTTTTCTTACCCGCAACGTGTATTTCGTGCAGCCCCTAACGGCAGAGGAGGAGAGGACGGATGGGAGGAAGGGACCATGGGGGAGGGAGGAGATGGAGCACCAGAGAGACAGAGAGTAGCAGTAGTGGGGCTAGGAGCAGAAAGCACGTGTCAGAACCAGACGGGTAGACCGGGCGGGTCGACTATCGGGCGGGTCGGGAAGGCGGGCCCAGGCGGCCAAGTCGAGCAGGCGGTGAAACGTGCGTCTTGCATGAGTCGCGAGGAAGTCTCGAGTGATAGCGCGATGCTCAACTAAATCGTGAGGAAATCCAGAGCGAGAGCGTGTTTCCTGAGTGTCGAGGGCGCGGCGTTTGAATACATTGCGAGGGTGTCCCACACGAGAGCGCGATTCCTGTAAAACTTGTAAGGACGTCCCGCGCGAGAGCGCGATTTTGGAATCACTTGTGAGGAAGTATCACGCGGGAGCCGTTGATGTCGTTGTTGTAAACAGGGGGCCAGGGGCACAGCTTGGTGACACCACGCTTGCCCTTGGTAAAAAAAACAGGGTGCGAGACCCGGGAGAAACATTTTTATTGACACCATGAAATTGTTACCGGGGGGTCAACAATAAGTGTATTTTAGACACGAGAGTTCAGCAACAACAGCCACAACAATCATGATAAGACTGTTCGCTCTTACCTGCTCGCGTGCCATTCAATACGTATATCCCAAACTGTTGGTACCCGCCCTTTTCGTTTTTTATCGCACCCCCCAGGGGGTATGTCTTCCTTACCTGCCGCGTGCACTTAGTGCAGCCCCTAAAGGCAGAGGAGGAGAGGACGGATGTAAAGGGGGAGGGGGAAGGATGGAGCACGGGATTAGCAGGAGGGGTCCAGGAGCAGAAAACACGTGGCAGAACCAGGCGGGCAGATCGGGCGGGTAGACCCTAACGGGCGGGTCGGGAAGGCGGGCCCAGGCGGCCAAGTCGAGCAGGCGGGTTGCTGAAGCGTGAATCCAGCATGAGTCGCGAGGAAGTCTCGAGTGATAGCACGATTCCTGAAAGGATGAGGAATGCCAGCGTGAGAGCGTGATTCCTGAGTGTCGAGGGCGCGGTGTCTGAATACACTGCGAGGAAAGCCCACTCGAGAACGCGATTCCTGTATAACTTGTAAGGAAGTCCCGCGCGAGAGTGCGGTTTCGGAATACGTTGTGAGGACGCATCAGACGGGAGCCGTTGATGTTGTAGTTCGGGGCCCAACAACACAGTTTGGCGACACCAAGTTTTCCCTGGTGAAAAATAGGGGCGGGCCCCGAGAGGGCACTTCAAGTGAAAGAAGACAATGGTTACCGGATGGGGGATCAACAGTTTTTATTCTTTAGAAATGAACATTCAACAACAACGCCAGCAGCACCACCATCAGCAACAACATCATCAATACCAGCAACACAACAACAGCAACAACAACAGCAACAGCAACAACACCACAACCACCATCGACAACAGACACAAAAAGAACAGCATTAACAACAAACACAACATCATCAGCAACACCACCAACCACAACAGCAACAACACCAACAACAACACCAACAGCAACAACAACACCAACACCACCACCAACAACAGGCACAAACACAACAAGAGCAGCAGCAGCAGCACCATCAACAACAACAGCAACACCACCACCGACAGCAACAGCAACAGCAACAACGACAATAACACCAACACAACAGTACCAACACCACCAATACTACTAACACCACCAAGACCAACAGCACCACCAATACCTTTGGCAACACCACCCGCAACACCAACGAAGCCACCAGCAACAACAACACGAACATCAACAGCAACCACACCAACCACAGCAACCACATCCACCACAACAACCACAACAACAGCATCACCGTTACCAGCAACAGCAACAGCGGCAGCAACAACAACACCAACACCAACAGCAACAACACACCACTACCACCACCACCACCACCACCACCACCACCACCGCCGCCACCACCACCACCACCACTACCACCACCACCACCAACAACAACAACAACACCATCACCAAGAGCACCAACAACTAACAAGCAACATCCGTGCCACGGAATCCTACTTCACCCACGCACCCAGGGATGGCGTAAGAACGTTCTCTCCCCTCATTCCGATAGGGATGGCGTAAGAACGTTCTGTCCCCTTCTATACTCCGATTTGGATTTCGAAAACGAGCCCCCAACCCACGCGTGCGCCACGTGACACGGATGCGAGAGGTCAGTCGTGTTGTCTTCGCCGATGAGATACCACAGTTGTCAGTCACTGTTTTGCACCTTGCTTGCTTCATTGGGCGTTCTGCGTGGCGTATTCGTATACACTCACGCTGGGCGCGTAGTTTTTTCGCAGTGTGACGAAGTGCTGTTCACCAAGTGGGTTCGACGGAGGGGGGTACGCATAGGGACGGCCACGCAGGAGAAGGCGAAGCTTCTCAAGTCCGTTAAGCAGGCAGCGTTGTTTTTTGCTTCAGCGCGCTGCGCACTTTTCTCAGTCTGTCGTCTCTCCGTCTGTCTACTTTCGCCTTTCCGTCTCTGTCCCTGCCCCTATTGCTCGATTTTCTATCCACCTTCCCGTCTTTGTGCGTCTCTCTTTTTTTTTCCTCTCTCTCTTTCTCTCTCCTAAGTCTGTACATGCACCTCTCCCTCTCTTGCTTGCTATCTCTCTCTCTCTCTCTCGCGGGCCCTCTCTCTCTCTCTCTCTTTCCTTATCTCTCTGTTGCAGTGCCTCCGCGTGTTTCGATACAGTCACGTTCAACACATATGTTGGTTTGTGCCTCTCCGTGTGTCTCCGTCTCTCTGTTCTCTCTCGGTTCTCTCTCTTTCTCTCTCTTTCCACCCTCTCTTTCCACCCTGCGCCGCCCAGTCGATTCCGCATCCGTCCCTCCTGTGACCCCCTCTGTCACCCAATCTCTTTCGACCACCGTCGCGCGACCACTCCCCTGGTCCACCCCGCGTCTGCTCCCATTCCCGCATCCGCCCTTCCCAACCTCCCAAGCACGAAGAAGAGGGCGACGACGAGAATGACCACGAGGTCGCCTCCCTCCCTCCCTCCCTCCTTTCCTTTCCAGGGGGGATGTTTGGGACCGCGGTGGTTTTTGGACGCTGGGGAGGGCGGGATGTAAATACTACCACGCTTGTTATTGAGCCTTACGCTTCATACTTGTGGCCCACCTGTATAACTGATCCCTCCCTTCCTCCTCGCCTCCCCTCCCTGCCCTCCCTCCCTCCCTGCCCCCTCCCTCCCCCTCCCTCACTTCTTTCCTCCCGAGGCATAGGATCATTCACGCCTTCCCTTAAGGGCCAGGGCTCTTCCCGTCCCGCCCAAACGTGCGCGGCTCTACGCGCAGTAGGTCCGGATGGAGGCTCGCTCTCTCGTTCGCTTCCTCTTCCCCCCACCGCCGAACTATTCGAAGCCGCGTGGCCATCATGATACCCTTTCAAACATTACCCTGGCGAACAACCCAACCCTTTTGTATATGGGGCCATGAAGTGTGTGAGGGGTGTGCCGAAATGGATCCGAGTCAACATGCAGACGCAGCCACTGGGGCCTTGTGTGAAGCTCCCCATGGGGCCATGAAGTGTGTGAGGGGTGTGCCGAAATGGACCCGAGTCATCAGGCGGACGCAGCCACTGGGGCCTTGTGTGGAGCTCCTTTTGGGGCCATGAAGTGTGTGAGGGGTGTACCGAAATGGACCCGAGTCACCATGCGGACGCAGCCACTGGGGCCTTGGGTGGAGCTCCTTATGGGGCCACGAATGGGGGGGAGGGGTGTGCCGAGATCGACCCGAGTCACCATGTGGACGCAGCCACTGGGGCCTTGGGTGGAGCTCCTTATGGGGCCACGAATGGGGGGAGGGGTGTGCCGAGATCGTCCCGAGTCACCATGCGGACGCAGCCACCAGGGCCTTGGGTGGAGCTCTCTGCGGGGCCAGGAAGCGTGTGAGGGGGTTTGCTAAAGATGGGGCGAGGCCGCATGCGGACGCAGCCAGTGGGTCAATCGGCGGAGGAGGAGGAGGAGGAGGTGGAGGAGGAGGAGGAGGAGGAGGAGGAGGAAGAGACGCGCGGCGCTGCGGATTCAAAACGAGGACCCAACACACAGGAGGGATGGAAAACGCATGGGTGGGACGGACCTTCCGCTCTCCGTGGACCTTCGATGTCCCGTCCCTGAGGGCCCTCGCGGGCTCCCGCCGATGGTTGGAGGTCGAGTGTGCTGTCGGGGTGCCCTGCGAAACCGCACCTGGAGTGAAGGCCCTTCGCCCTATTCTTTGTTGACGCCCAGCCCGACCCTGAGGGGCCCCAATGACTCGCCTGTGATTCTGTGGGCTCGGGTCCAAGCGGCTGTCGGGATACTGGGATACACTGAACAGCACAGGTGGGGTTTCTCGGGCGGATGGCAACGAGGGGGGGAATAAACGTGGGGGGATCGAGGATTGCAGGAAAGTGGCCCTCAATTGGACCTCAATGGCTCCTCAACTGTCACCGCTGGAACAAAAACTGAACCAAAGGTGCGCGTTTTTTCACCCCACGTTTACTGCCCCCTGTTAATGAACTCCCGGATCGGAGTGAACCTGCCTCTCTCCGCGGACCTCCATCTCGTCCCCGAGGACACCTGATGGGTTTGAATCCGAGGGTGCTATCTGGATACCCCACACCCCAACGGTGTTTTTGTCACAGCGTCTACCCCCGGAGGTCTGGACCCCCTAGCCGGGCCCGGTGGGACCCCGTGGTCCGAAAATTCGGGTGTTGCTAGAAGTGCCCTTGGGTAGCCCAAGCGGCCTCCAAAGCACCCCTCACGAGGCCCAGAGGGCCCCAGGGGCTCCAAAATGAAGCGAAAAGCTGGGGGCACCTTGGTCCAGGGGTACTCCTAGCAACACCCGAAAATTGGCTAACGGCCATCCGTCGTTTATCTTGTTACCGTGGCGCGAGGGGGTCGGGGCACCCTGCGGAAGCACTCGCAGCCTGGGCCTCCTGCCCTGCCGGGGTGCGTTGTGCTCGTGCCTCCCCCTGGGCTCCCGCCGAGAGGGCTGGTCTCCGGGCGGCATGTCCTCGGGCCCTGTGCTCTCACATATTGGAGCGGGCCTGGCGCTCTCTCCACCACAGGCCTTCGGGACCTCCTCCTCCGAGCCTCTCTCACGGGGCCACCTCGGAGCTCGCCCCCTTGAGCTTCGGGGTATGCCCCCTGCCCGCTCCAGGAGAAATATGGGGTGCGCGGCCCTATTTAATCGCAGGGGAATTCGCTAGTCGCGCGCGCAGCTCCTTTGTAGGTGTTGACGTAGACCCCCTTATGCGGATGTTCTGTCTTGTCCTCCTCTTCGTCCCTCCTCCTCCTCCTCCTCCTCCTCCTCCTCGTCTTCCTTCTCCTCCTCCTCCTACTCCTCCTCCTCCTCTTCTGGTTTACCCCACGCTGTTGGCCCGGATTATTTCGGGCGGATGCCCGGCTGGGCTTCGGGTCGCCCTCGCTCCGTCCTGGCCCCCCCCCTCTCCGCTCCTGCCGTCCCCCCCATCGGGGATCGAGGGAGGGCAAGAGTCGCCGCCGAAATATTTCAGGCTTCGGGTGGCGCAGGGAAACAGGGTGCGCGCGCGGCCGCCGCGCGTCCTCGTCGCCTCGTCGTCCATTGCATGAGGATCTATTAACTATCTGAAACTCGGCCGCCGTGTACGGCGAGCCGAAGTCATAATGACAACTGGGGTGACATCGGCCCGAAGGCTCTCGTTTACCCCCAACGCAGGATGTCAGCCGAAACAGTGCTGTGCACTGCACCTAAGACGGATGCCTCGGGTGAGCTGGAAGCTCACCTCGAGCCCATCATCCCGATTCGTCTTTCGACGCGGAGAACCATCGACGAGCAGCTCGACAGCCGCGCGCGGGGTGCGGAGAAGCTGTGCCAAGAGCCGTGCTACCGGAAAAGGTCAAGCCCATCCGCCCCGAGCCAGTGAGAGGGCTCGCGCGGCTGGGCAACCTGCCGCTGGCACGGCCAGAGCCCGAGTCGGATTTGAAGACGGGAGGTTTCATCTTATCCCGTTGCTCAAGGGGTCGGGATTGGAGCTCGAGCAACTACAGTGCATGAGCCACGGCCCCCTCATTTTTCCGATCGGGTGCGACAAATCCCACCTCGCGTTGGAGACCAGGGGCCGCCGCGCCCACGTGCGGCGTTGTAGTCTTGGTCTCAGGCTGCAGCCGTCCAGCCCCAAATATCGGTTGCAACTGCCGACGTGCTCCTCGCCCCGAGTCAGCAGATTACCGCAGGCATCGGCAGGCACTGCAGGAGCAAGGCGCGATGCTCGAACAACAAAAGGAGGCGAACTTTAAAAGGGTGCGTTCTTCCTTAGCGGAGTTCGCAGGCGCCTCGCAGGCGCAGTGAACCCAGAGTGTTAATCCTCATGCTTGCGCGGTCATCGGTGGCCTTGTAACGGCAAGCGCGCCGGGGCCCGTGAATCTCACTTGTGAGCGACTGTTCAAAGGATGGCGCACCTGGTAATGCGCAGTCGCGCAGTTCAGAGCATTCTTCACTGCGAACAACTGCAGACCGCGCCCAAGATTCATAGCGCGCTGTAGCTATCCGAAGCATCCGAGAAGCTTCTTCCAATGCTCGCGAAGCGGGTGGCCACGTTGGAGCACAGGGGTAGCGAGTTAATCTAGCCAGTGGAGTTCGCTGCAACAGCCTAGGCGCAGGCCAAGCGCGAGACCTTTGGAATTGTGCCCGAGAGGCAACAGCTGCTGTCAATACTCGCCTGCGTGCGGGAGAGGATGGATAGTGCCGATCAACAGTGTTCGGTGAGAGGCGAGGTAGTAGGCATGCAAGACCGTGCTGCTAGACATGCGTGGCAAGATACAAGAGCCTCGCGATAGGTCGCAAGGGTGCGAGGTGACCATGTCAGGAGCAACAGCGACATTCACGTGCACAATGTATATAGGACCGCAACGAAGCCGCAGCTGAATTCTGTCCAATCAGTCTGGCGCTGGACAGTTTGTCCCGCGTTGTTGACAATCAGCGCCAAGAGGCCGTGATGCACTGGCGGCGATGGCTAGGCAGCCTTCGCCAGCGATTGGGCATGTGGGCCCGTTCGGGGAATGGCGGTGGACAACCGTTGCCCGTCGCCACCTGCGGCGAGGGAGCTGGCGGATTGCAGGGTCGTCGGGGGCGTCAAGTCCCACCTCGCGTTGATGACGTTGAAGACCGGGGGCCGCCGCGCCCGCGGGCGGCGCTGTTGAGGGCGACGCGGGGCCCGAGGATTGCAATATCCAGTTTCTGAACACATAGAAGCAACAAGCAACGAATGGCATGGCAGCGACTTTTTGGTCATTGCAGGCATGTCAGCGTGCGCGCGATCTTGCGAATTCATGCGCGCGCCATGCGTTGTTTCCTTTCGTGGACTGCGAATAGGCGGGGCCGCTCGCGCGCGCGCGTCGAAGTGATTTGAGCGCCCTTTCGCGCTTGCTTTTTTTTT